AATTTATTAAATTTTACCGAATGTACGCCGCCTGTTTTATGCATATCACAATGGATGTATCAATCAGGTTGTGGGTAAACACAAGTTTTATAAGGTTCCCGAAACAGTGGCTAATTTACTTCAACTTGAAGATGCTAACTCATATACAGCTCATTCATTTCGAAGATCGTCTGCTACACTTTTAGTGGAATCTGGGGGAGACACTAAAGAAACATGGCGGTTGGAAGTCATCAACGGTCGCTGAAGGGTATGTTGATTAATCGGTAGCACACAGGACAGAAATAGCTAATAAAGTGTGGTAGTGCTGAAATAACACCGGAAAACCATATAATTTCAATACAAGAAAATTCGACTGTTGTACCGAATAGTTTAAGGAACGTGTCCTTCATGCAATGCACATTTAATAATTGCACTTTTGATACAAAGGAAATGTAACTTTATTGTATAATAAAAAATTATAAAATTAAATATCTACCTTTGCTTCCGGGAAAAAGTACTGATTTTTTTACCGGGGAAAACAGTAATTTCATAAAAAGTGACATTTTGTTACCTGTCAACAGAGATAAAATGTCAAACTTTTTTTCCATCACAGACAAAAGGTCCTTTTTCGGTGGCAGATATAGAGCCAAATGCGTAAAAGTTCTCTTTTCTGTTTCAACAACAAAGTTTGGTCAAATCAATCGCAAACTATGTACTAAATTCCTATTTAAAATAAATATGAGATATTTCCTTATCTTTCTTCAAGAAATAACTTTCTTACCACAAAAAAAACGCTCCAATAGCTATTTTCAACAACAAAATGGTAAACGAACCATGGGCGTAGTGAAGAAAAGCATTTACTGATTAAGTAAATTCTTTAGTCAAATTTATTCTAAAAGTAGTACAAACTAATCTGATGTACCTATTAAAGTCTACTTTAAGCTTTAAATCAATAAATCTTCAAAACTACTGAACTGAAGCTCATGTATTTTAAATCAATATAAAGCGAATTGAAAGACCTTTAAAATAAGATATCACTCGACCCCCCTTTCCATTTAAGATTGTGGGGGTGGTGTCACCCCGCTTAGGGGCTGCACGTGCTAACGTGATTTTTTGCCAAACTTGTGTCCTCTTCGAAAACAAAATCGACGGGTCTGAGCGTTTTTCCAAAAAAAAACTGAGCTGCTAGTAAATGCGTCTGTTTTCGTTTTAATAGATGATTCTTTCCATTTTCATTTCAAAAAGTCCACTTCATCGCACATCCCTGGACCACACAAGGAATATGAGGACAAGTTTCTTTGCGAAATTATTATTTGTTCTTTGATAGTTTGAAATGGCAGAACCTTTTCTCTCTGGAGATCTGCTGTGCTTCAACGCAAAATAAAGTGTGCATAAGAAATCTCGATCATCTGTTGAATTTATTTTTGAATTCGAAATCGGATCCTGTGATAGACTATTATCGTCATTCCCACCTTTCCATGCCTTCTTCAATTTTTTCCAGGAAGGCAATCATATCGTATTTCACTTTATTGATCATATTTTCAGATGCCGAAACGTCGGATAGCGACACATCGTTCGGATATACGGAATAAAAAGTCGAGGATCCTTATACTCACAATAAAAGTTATTTTTAGAATGTCCGGACATTTTTTAACGATCGTTTGTATATATTCGGGGTAGATCGTTGCCATTACTTTTACACACCGTCAAAGAAAGTGGGTTAGTGATAAATAAGGAGTCTTGAAAGTCTCAGAAACGACTACGTTTGAAATAGCAAAGTCATTTTGCGGTAAAACAGCGCCGAAATCGTAAAAAAGATCGAGAGTTATATGGAAGATCAATCTGGTTCGTTACTTGTGATTAAAGAATCAACAAAGACACATAATAAATGAAGACCTCTGCTTTGAAATGAGAGCAAAAACAAATATATCGCATCTTCCTTCCCCTTAGGGCTTCTGATAACTACATTCGTTTATGTTAAACGATATTGAACATGCGGTAATAAACGCGAGAGTGGTAATAAAACGTATTAAGCAGAAGTACCTGTATGTGCCGTGTTACTGCTCCTCAAACTTCCTCCGAAACTTCTAGTTCGAATGCCCATTAAGTTGTTAAACTGAAAGTTACTTTGCTGTAATTTGTATCTCAATAGACTGTAATTCCAAATTGGTCTAATGCAGCTTTTGTGTGAAGGAACTACGTTAGCAGAACCAAAATTGGTACACCTCAGCTCATAGTTAATTTGAGAGGAACGCATTTAACATCCATCTTTGGCTTGGTCCTGCCGCCATCTGGTAGGGTATTTATTTCCCTATCGACGATTCGAGAAACATTCCAGCGTTTTCGCGAACTTCTATGGAACTGGTCTAAATGGCAGCAGATTCATCTTCAGACGTGTCGAAGAATCGCAATGGCATCTCACAGTCCACAGAATAAGTGGAATAACAATTATTATTTAATTTCCTATATGCTTTCTTTACCTCCCTGTTGTAATTGTTATCCTTTTTGTGTAATATTGAGACTTCATCCTGTTTCATCTTACAGTTAAGAGTCAGTGTAGCCTGTGTGGTAAGGAAGTGTCACAGATTGGTCGGATTACGGTATCATGCCTAGTTTTAGTTCTTATGTTCTTGATAAAGCTTTGTTACCGCGACACGTGTTGCTTTCCATCGAATAATGATCGATCTTAACTGTATTGTAACGAAAACATCGTTTTTACTGCCCAAGATCTAATCTACTATTCTACGCAAACAAATTTATAACACTTACACTAATTTATGACGTATTCATAACCTTCTCGACTGGACTATGTTGACGCATCGGTCGCTATTCGTTGAGTTTCTCGACTGTGACTGACTCCTTCCGCCATCTGGTCGAGTATTTATCGCCCTATCGACGATTCGAGAAACATTCCAGCGTTTTTCGCGAACTTCTATGGAACTGGTCTAAATGGCAGCAAATTCATCTTCAGACGTGTCGAAGAATCGCAATGGCATCTCGAATAGTTGAGAATGTACTCAGACTCCACATATGGTATCTCTTATTCAACGATACTCAACCAATTTGGGTCACAGTCCACAGAATAAGTGGAATGACAATTATTATTTAATTTCCTATATGCTTTCTTCACCTCCCTGTTGTAATTGTTATCCTTTTTGTGTAATATTGAGACTTCATTCTGTTTCATCTTATAGTTAAAAGTCAGTGTAGCCTGTGTGGTAAGGAAGTGTCACAGATTAGTCGGATTACGGTATCATGCCTACTCTTAACTCTTATGTTCTTGATAAAGCTTTGTTACCGCGACACGTGCTGCTTTCCATCGAAAAATGATCGACGTTGACCGAATTGTAACGAAAACATCGTTTTTACTGCCCAAGATCTAATGTACTATTCTAGACAAACAAATTTATAACACTTACAACTAATTTATGACGTATTCATAACCTTCTCGACTGGACTATGTTGACGCATCGGTCGCTATTCGTTGAGTTTCTCGACTGTGACTGACTCCTTCCGCCATCTGGTCGGGTATTTATTGCCCTATCGACGATTCGAGAAACATTCCAGCGTTTTTCGCGAACTTCTATGGAACTGGTCTAAATGGCAGCAGATTCATCTTCAGACGTGTCGAAGAATCGCAATGGCATCTCGAATAGTTGAGAATGTACCCAGGCTCTACATATGGTCTCTCTTATTCAAGGATACTCAACCAATTTGGGTCACAGTCCACAGAATAAGTGGAATGACAATTATCATTTAATTTCCTATATGCTTTCTTTACCTCCCTGTTGTAATTGTTATCCTTTTTGTGTAATATTGAGACTTCATCCTGTTTCATCTGATAGTTAAGAGTCAGTGTAGCCTGCGTGGTAAGGAAGTGTCACAGATTAGTCGGATTACGGTATCATGCCTAGTCTTAGTTCTTATGTTCTTGTTACCGCGACACGTGCTGCTTTCCATCGAAAAATGATCGACGTTGGCCGAATTGTAACGAAAACATCGTTTTTACTGCCCAAGATCTAATGTACTATTCTAGACAAACAAATTTATAACACTTACAACTAATTTATGACATATTCATAACCTTTTCGACTGGACTATGTTGACGCATCGGTCGCTATTCGTTGAGTTTCTCGACTGTGACTGACTCCTTCCGTCATCTGGTCGGGTATTTATCGCCCTATCGACGATTCGAGAAACATTCCAGCGTTTTCGCGAACTTCTATAGGAGTGGTCTAAATGGCAGCAGATTCATCTTCAGACGTGTCGAAGAATCGCAATGGCATCTCGAATAGATAAGAATGTACCCAGGCTTCACATATGGTCTCTCTTTTTCAAGGATACTCAAATAATTTGGGTCACAGTCCACAGAATAAGTGAAATGACAATTATTATTTAATTTCCTATATGCTTTCTTTACCTCCCTTGTAATTGTTATCCTTTTTGTGTAATATTGAGACTTCATCCTGTTTCATCTTATAGTTAAGAGTCAGTGTAGCCTGCGTGGTAAGGAAGTATCACAGATTACGGTATCATGCCTACTCACAGCTCTTATGTTCTTGATAAAGCTTTGTTACCGCGACACGTGCTGCTTTCCATCGAAAAATGATCGATGTTGACCGAATTGTAACGAAAACATCGTTTTTACTGCCCAAGATCTAATGTACTATTCTACGCAAACAAATTTATAACACTTACAACTAATTTATGACGTATTCATAACCTTCTCGACTGGACTATGTTGACGCATCGGTCGCTATTCGTTGACTGTGACGGACTCCTTCCGCCATCTGGTCGGGTATTTATTCCCCTATCGACCAGTCGAGAAGCATTTATGCATACATGATCGCGTAATTCTGGTCGGCTAAGCGTGGATTCCGACCTCTGGCCACCTGTCGAATCTTCTAGTTGATGTAAGAGGGTGTCAGTCGCAGTACCCAGAGTTCTAGTTATACGAGGGGAACTGTATTGTTTCGATTTTGTAATAGTATGCTTTGGTCATAATATTATTTTGTTTTCAGAACCTCCAAGGACATCTCCACAGCAAGACCCCATGGCAACGGTGGTATCCACACCAGAAACGCAGACAACGATGTCAACGAAAGAGACCAAAGCATCGCAAGATCCCTCAGACATGGTCGAGTTTCCACAAACTAGTTCCACAGTAAGTCCAACAATACGAATGAATATCCTTCAGATTAGCAATCCTTAAGTTTTGGATGACAAAAAATCATGATGATGATTTCATAATCCAAAACCCGGATAGATTCCTAAATCTGCACTTTAATATTAATTAAAATAGGAGGTCCCCTGTGGATCGCTGGTGACATCTTGTCACTAATCAAGCCGTGACGTTGAAGATACGCCAAGGTCGACTTTAGAGAGTTGACATAGCTGTATATAGACATCTTGTACTAAAATATGCAAAATACATCAGGTCATCCGCAGTTGGGAATTATTTTGGGACTATAAAGTGTATTGTCACATATTATATTATTAGACCCCATTCCGGTGTATCCATGACAACATTTTGGAAATAGAACGTAGGCGTCCCGCGTCGATGACCCGAATCCTGAACAGTAGACCCCTCCTTCCGTGGAGGTATTGCGGCCATCAACAAAATTACATCACTTTCATTAAATTCCAGGCACCTTCATAAACACTGGAGTAAATGGACTGAAAATGGGTTAATTTTCCACGTATTGGCCTGCCTGACGTTTTCATTTAGAGCGTTCCTTCGCCAGGTTATTTCCGATTTTACGCGTGCTTCTGGGATATAAACAAATCGCAAAATCCACAGAATTATAGGTATTGCATACTGATTTTCATGTGAATGTGAAGTCATTTTTTCGCACCTAATCATTGGCTTGTCATCTTGTGACAGTTTCTTTTTATGGACGATTAAAAATTAAGTATATCTTGATCAAATAAATTGTTACAACGTTTCTTGGTCTAATGATTTTATGGTATAAAATCATACTCTACTCTCCATCTCGTTAATTTTTTATAATTTCTGTCGACCGCAAGTACGAGAGGTAAATGTGATTAGCGGCTATTGACGGTGCTCTTGTGTAGGAATTCAGCAGCCCGCAACCCGATTTAGTGAATCAATTTCACATTCAGTACCGCGGTTTTATCGGGTTGTGGAGATTTTCATGGAAATCGACGGTTGTACCTTCGGGTTTGAGTTACATCTTGCCCTCGGTTGCCTCCCTATGATAGCCAAGCAACTGCCTAGGTGGTTTTTTATTTTATTTTAAGTGGAAACCATTTAGCTGGGGGGTAGTACAACATAACTCTCTTTTGCTTGTCCTCCATGACTTTTTTTAATTTTTTTTTATTTCTTTCATATTCAATAAATGTGTACCTTGTGAGTTTGTATCTCCTTTAGCGCCAGAGACCCAACATTTACAAGATATTTTTTTCCTAGATCTTGGAACTAGGTGGCGAACAATTACTTTGCATCCAAAATCCAAAGTCCAAAGAACCACCCTCTGAGGGCTCATTTACTACCAACTGAGCTCAGTTTAAAGATACGACCAATGAACAAAAACCAGATCACCAAGAATTGTGTATACCAGATGCTATGTGAATGCGGAGATATATACCAGGGCGACCCGATAAGTGCAAATCAGAGCACCACTATTCACTCACGCGTTACCGACTGACACATTGTCTGATTACAACTGAATAAAATTGTAGTAAAAACATCGTGATAAGCGTTTCAAATTCTTTCGCTTTCTTGTTTCCGATGCGATGAACCGATAAGGCGGATTATATCCGTTGTTGCCAAACACGAGCACATAATATTATTATTGAGACAGGGCGGTACTCAAACTTCTAAAGGGCTATAACTTGGCTACTTTAATTTTACCACAAAAATGTTAAAGGAAAAAAACATTTTTAAAAATCCCTATAGACAATGCAAGTCCGAGAAACAACATCTCAGAAGCCTAAATACTAGGGTACCGCGGCTGTTTTAAGAAGTTTAAAGAAACCTGTGTGCGTAGAGATGAAAATTGAAATATTGCGTTGTGGAAATTTAAAGGCATACTATTGGAGAAATTTTTCTAAAATGCAAGAGGTTCTGCGATGACATATAAAGAACTAAGGTATCTACCCTCTATTCATTGGGTATACTCGTAAGCATCAATTGAAAAAACATCAGAGCCAAAGGTTGGTTAATCAGGAAATGTTTACGAATCTACCACAATTTGGATTCTATTGGAGAAATCAGGAGTTTCAGTTCATATTCTTCATAAATCTAGATCGTTCGCTACTTCAAATACCGTATAGTATTTTTTTTGTGACTTAGTATAATGTCCATAAAATAGGAATTTCTGGGAGGTTTATGCGCCCAGCAACAAGTAATGATTGTAAAACACGAAACGTTACCGGTGTGCTTAAACACAAATGTTTTTCAGACTCTTTTCCCGCGAAATATATTCAATACTACGACTTGCGACGAATATAGATTCCGTTCTAAATCGTGACGTTTTAGTCATGCAATTTTTCAATATTATTATCAACATGCTCGAATTTTGCACGTGTAATATCTATAGAAAATGGAATGAAACAGCTACAGCATATCTAGCTACAGGGTGTTCGAAAAGTTCCGGGACCTCACAATACTAATGCTAGAGATTGATAGCAGTGTTTCCCAGCTGTCCAATAGTGACCTTCAGTTGGAGCTTGGCCATGATTTTCAAGCTCGTTTGAAGGTCAAGTCGATTTTTTAAATAGAACCCTCCATTTTTGAAAACAGCTGAAAATTTTGCGTTCAAATATGGCTGGCGCTATTTTAAAATTTTGACCTTAGGAGGTCATGATGAAGGTCAGTCCCAGGCACAGATATATAACTTGAAAGTCAGTATTTGTATAAGGAAACTATCGAAACATTATTTTCATAATTTTTCCCCGGATATTCAATGATGATATTGGATCTGACCTTGGCCATGACTTTCAAGGTCATTTGAAAGTCAACTCTTTTTTAATGGGATCTTTTACTTTTAACCGCGGAAGTGAAGAAAAGGAAAAATGTTCATTCGGATATGTCCTTGACTACTTTTGGCTCTTGACCTTGGACTTTACCATCAAGGTCAAACAGAATTTTACTTCAATTTCTTGATAATTCAGGGAACTGTGCAATCGCCAAATAACCTGACTCCACTGTTCTTTCAGGATTGCTTCCACGTGACCAAGAAGGTCTTCATGATTAAGGTCAGATCCAAGGTGACTATTAAATATCCGGGAAAATCAAGAAAATAATCTCTGGGTAGTTTCTTTATACTGGAATCCAAATTATTTCGCACCTTACCTAGGTGTGATCTTAACTATGACCTAAGGTCAAATTTTAAGAATGTTCAAAACCATGTTTAAACTTAATACGCTACTTTGATTTATGGGTTTAAAAATGGGGTTTCTATTTAGAAAGATCGACTTGACCTTCAAATGATTTTGAAGGTCACTGTCAAGGTCGAATCCGCTGTTACCGTTGAATAGCTGAGAAAACTCCTAGCAATGACGTGGCTTGTTCATCTCATACAATCAATAGTTCACAAATTATTGTGGGGTTCCAGAACTTTTGACACATCCATTGCAATGAATCCTCATTTAGAACAACCTGTAGATCTTTCCTGATCCACTTCGCGCCTTGCATTACAACGTTTTGTTTACAATCTGCTGTTGTAAAATCCAGAAAAATGCATTATGATGAATAATCTGTAGCTAGCATAGTGTTTCTGCAAATGCATTGTAAACATTACCGATAGTATGAATAGGCTTTGCGACCAATGTGAGCTGTTCAATACCCGGTTAGGCACTTCTCTGTAAACTTTGTAATTTTGAAGGACAGTCCATAATAAATTTTTTAAAGTATTTCTAAATCTAGTGATTTAAGATTCATATTGCCAGAAAACAACAAAAAGGAAAAAATATAATTTGTTTTCAAATTTGTTTCTACATCGACAAGCATTTTGTATAAATACCTACATACCGTATTTTTTTATCATTGGGAATCATTCCTACTGACATATGGGAAAACGGTTTCGTATTTCCTCTTTCCACGTATCCAAACCTTCCCTAATAACCTCTTGCATTTTTCGGCTGACGTCAAGTTCACTTTTTCCAGTCTACCGTTCAGGTAGAAATTTCCATTTTCCGTATTTTGAAGCATCTTTCCGTCCTTAATGGGCCGAGAGAAACGCTTTCCTTCGTCATGTATTATTTATCTTTTCTTTTGTGGAAATATGTTGACTGCAAGCGAGTTTTTGTTCAAATAAAGCGATGAGTTGATAAACTTGATTATGTATATTGACAACTGAATGATATTTGAGGAGATTTTTCATTCTTAACAACATAGAATGCTTATTCTAGATAGAACAACCCAAATATTAGTCCAATTCTGGATTCTATGCGAGATTCAAGGTACATGTCACGCCATAACCGCCATTAACATTATTTTGTATTTTTGTCTTTGTCGTATTGTAACAAGAATGAATAGTACCATTGGCGCCATCTGTTGAGGTCCGCGCCAGTGACTCGCCTTCCAGATCGACGCGAAGTGACCGCAAATATTCTAGACTGCCGCTTTGTGGCTCACCGGAATCTTCTCGACTCGACGAGTACCTGTGATGCGGACTGTATAGGGGCGGCCGGGAGGTGGTAGTAGGGAAGAGTAGAGCAGAGTGGAGTATAGTTCAGTCAATGGCGCGACATAAGAATTAGTCAAAAATTAATAGTGGTGTACATCTATGTAGTCAAGATAAATAATTAGTGCATTTCATTTTGTGGAATCCAGTGTTTTAATCAACACCCAAAAGAACCCAGAAAAACGCTAGAGTATGATTTGTAACGGGTTCTGATTGCAAGGAACCTACTTTAATAGGCTTTATCCAAAATTTGGATAACAAATATTGCAGAGTAGAATAGAAAACATTTCTTTTAATTACTGGTGTCACAGAGAAATTTCTTTATGGAAGAATACGCTTTTTTCAGAGGCATTTTTAAAAGTTTTTTGTTTATAAAAATAGGTTTTTTCACATGTATCATCAGCTCATAATTATAGATACATGTCAAGGCTCTGTCTTATTTCGATAAGGTGAACGTCTCCTTTGCAGATTAATGACGGCGTAGTGTGATGCCATTTCTTTACACAATTCCATGACATTCAGCGTTAAAAATAAGGTTAATTTTGTATAAGGACATTGTAAGTTTCCGAAGTATGCTGCATACTGCTTTTGACCGAAATTTTGTTTAGATGTTCTGCAATCTTTGTGCGAAAGATAAAAGTTTCTCTCCGCATCACTCTATGTGGTCGTTCTTAGAGAAGTTTTCTGTAACTACATTTTAACTTCGGTAAGCAGGTAACTTGATTTAGACAAACTTTCGGTGGGCGAGGTACAAGACAATACTGTTAATTCTATTTGTTCCGATTCTGTTTCTGTTTAGGAAACAGCGAGGCGTGCTGTGTCGAGTTAAATCGGATTTTGCTTCTAATCTATCGGAACTGTTTTCGCGCTAAAAGTAAAAGGAAACTCGTTAAAGCTATCCTTAAAAGCTCCTCAAGCTACCGCGATGTTATTAATGACTCCAGATGGTCGCAGTTTATAGCAGACAGATTAGAATTTAAGACGAAGCCATTAATTTGCATTTGCGGCAAGCAAGGAGACAGAATGCTACAATATCTAGATTGATATGACAGCAATTACTTTAAACTTTCGATAAAATCAACCATAGTTTCGATCAAAAAGCGAACAGTTTTTTCAGAAGTTACCTAGGAAATTTTTCTCCAAACATATCCGAAACACCAAATTTTCAGAAAATTACGACTGGTGTACCCCAAGGATGGCTCCTTGAGCCACTACTTTTTCTTTTATACACATAAAGATCAAGGTCAGTTCTTCAGTAGCTTTCAGCAAGGAATGCAATGGTGACCTTGAGCTTGACCTTGAAATTCACCTTCATTGTTAATCCCTGGTTAACTTGATTTTTGATGCAGCAATCGAAAGAATGGGAAATGTTACGTTCAAATATAATTTAAATCCAAGGTCAAATGAAGATCAAATGTGTGCTGCTAAGAAAACCTTTATAAATCTCACAGGATGGGTGATGAAAATAACTATCAAGTTAAGGTATTTGGTAAATGTTAACGAGAAAGAGAACGCTGACCTTGGATGTGACCTTCAAAGTTATTTCAAAGTCAACTTTATTTTTTTAATAAAAGTTGCTATTTTTGATGCCTTCAATCGAAAAAACAGAAAATTTTACGTTCAAGTACGAATTGAGGTCCAAGGTGAAGGTGTCATCTAAAGGTCAAATGTGTGCTGCTAAGAAAACCACTATGAATCTTACACGATTAGTGATGAATGTAACTATCAAGGTCATTTTTTAAGTAAATTTTGACGAGTGATTAAGCAAGTTGCTTGATTCTATTCCTACAACATCTTCTTTGTTCCAGGTCCGTGGAGTAGAAATAGGCATAGTCCTTCTAGTCCTGTTCGTCTGGATCGCAGCCATCGCTCTGTTTTTCAATCGGTGGGGAAAAATCAGGATGCTTCTGCCCTACCAACCTGATTACAAACAGGAACAGTTGAAGGTACCAGGGACCGCCGCGTGTGCCGCTGCAGTCGCCCAAGGGGGCCCCTGCACTCATGGCTCCAGGGACCACATCTGCCAGCAGGTATTTTATACGGAAAACAATTAGTAACAACTGTAATCTTCGGCTTTTACTCACCCAACGAAACACCTTAATTCATTTATGCTTAACTTTAAGGTAATTACGGTTACGGCACAGCAGCATTGCCGTGTTTTCAACTTTTGAAAATGGCTACTTTCAGGGTCTTTCAAACTTTACTTACAAGTCGAAAACAGTCAGCTTTAAAAAAAGTTGCTGCGTTATCAAGAAACAATGTTTTGTAATTTATTTGAAAAAAAATGTGTTTTACAAAATATTGCAAATAATCGAGTAGAAACATTTCTTTCACGAACTTTGGGTTAACGTGACGTCTAAATATACAGGGTGTCAGCAAAGTTGGGGTTTTCCTTTACACGACGTGTAGATCTTGAAAACATAAGAAATTTTTCTTAGTACCATATACACCAATGTCTTAAGGGAACCGAGATAAAGGACTCTGCAACATCAAAAATATCTGAATACCGTCCTGTAGCCGCGACATCACCGACTGGTACAAGGTCACTGGCTCAACCCGACGACAGAACTGGGTCGGAGTCAATGTGTCAGGTCAGAATGCAACCTTCAACCGACGGTTACGGTCACGCGTGTAGAGGTAAACGCGTAGACGAGAATACCTAAACAAGCACTAGAGACGTGGCTAGAGAAGTGCAAGTATCAAAAACTAAAGTGTGGCAAACGCTGCGTGAAGAGGGGCTGTATCCGTTTCACGTCCAACGTGTACAAGCCCTTCAACCTGACGATTTTCCAGCAAGAGTGCGGTTTTGTGAGTGGTTGTTGCATCAACATGACAATAGTCCGGACTTTTTGAAGTGCATATTGGTGACAGACGAATCTACGTTCACGCGTAATGGGGTGAATAACTTTCGCAACACTCATGTTTGGTCATTTTCAACAAACATTTTCGGTTAATGTTTGGGCTGGCATGGTGAACGGTATGCTCAGTGGACCATTTATTCTCCCAAATCGATTGGACGGGATACAATACCTAGACTTTTTACGAAACATTTTGCCTTCCTTGTTAGAAGATGTGCCATTAAGTGTAAGACAATCAATGTGGTTTCTGCACGATGGTCATTTTTGTTACCCTCTGTTCGTGGTCTGCACCACCGCCGGCGTCTGCTCGGTAGCGCATCAGCTGATTTCATTTTCTGTTGGAGCGGTATGATTTCGGGCAGAGACGTACTTAGCCCTTCTCGTCAACTGGAGAGTGAGTACTTTTTCCTTTATTTTTTTTTACTTGGTCGCCCTCGTTTCAAGGCTAGTTGTTTATGAAAAGGAAAACCCCAACTTTGCGGACACCCTGTATATAAATTCGTGTGTGGAAGGGAGGTCCAGACGAGGGATACCGTTTTCAATAATTCGGGCGGCATTTGGATGAATAACGTCACTTGCTACCGCTGAATAAAGGCTCTCTGGCGACCCCATAAATTTCACGTTCGTTTTACAATTTGCGCCGTATTCGCATTTGGCGTCGGTTAATCCCACTGGCGCGCAGTGGAATATTCTAGAGGAAATAGATCGTTTTTATATACTTAATGTTGGACCAGCGAAAGATTGCAAGCCGAAAGAATGCGGACAAAAAATTGCGAAGTTGTCAGATGTTCTACATAAAATGCGGTCCATACATATTAACATATTTAAGATATAGAATTGTTCCGCTGAATTTGGCAATGTAGCTGGAAAACCCAGGCCGCAGGTAAACATCCGGTCGCTGATTGGTCCAAAACTCTTATCTTATCTGAAACTAGAATAACGTGCCGATGGCACGGTCATTTATAAACCTACTCCCATAGGCGTAGGCAGTTGGCAAATACTTTGAAAATATAATTTACTGTTTAGTGGTGATAATGGAATTCAAGCATGGGAAAGTTATTCACAGCCAGGCAAGGGAAATAATAGCAAACGTGATACGTGCTTGCGATGCAGAAGCGGCTAACAATACTTTCGTTTATCCACTGGTAGCTAGAAATGCAAGGGCGGCATATTATACGGGTGTTAGTGAACGAACTATAAGTAAAATTAGAAAAGAAGATAAAGACAGGCAAAATGCAACCTCCACACAGCCTTTAGCTTCTCCCGGAAAAAAGAGATCACGCCCTTCTGTGATCCAAAAATTGATGGAGTCGATTTTTCCATTATTCGGAGAATGATAGAAAAATTTTACTGTGATTTTAAAGTGGTACCTACTTGTAGTAAACTTCTAATCAAACTGAAGGAAGAAATGGAATTTCCATTTGGTAAAGAATCGTTGAGGCTGCTTTTAAAAGCAAAAGGATTTTACTGGCGTAAATGCCACAACAAAAGGAAATTACTAATGGAAAGACCCAGTATTTTACATTGGCGATACAAGTATCTTAGGTCTATTAAAAGTTCCGGGAAGAAGGAAGGCATATTATTTATTTGGACGAAACTTGGGTTGATAATGACCTCACTTTCAGAAATGCTGGCAAAGCGAAGAAATTATGGGTGTCCTGAGCAATATAAGTTCTACAGGTAATAAAGTTTCTTTCACCTCGATTTTGCTTATTATACATTTTTCTCAATTTTGGAATATTCTTAATAAGTGCTCATTTAATTTGTCTAATTGAATACATAATCCCTTGCAAGTATTTTTTTTCTCAAAAATATGTTTTTTTATACATAGTGATTCAAAAAGGTGTTGGCAAACTTAAAATAACACTAAAATGAGGCTATTTATTCATTTCCAGGACGACTTATAATTGTTCATGCGGGTTCGCAAGATGGTTTTGTTCCTGGAGCCTGTCTCATTTTCAAGGCTGGCTGTGCCACTGGTGATTATCACGGTCAAATGAACCAAGAAAATTTCACGAAGTGGCTTACTGAAAAACTATTTCCTAACATTCCTCCTAATAGTATTATAATAATGGATAATGCACCTTACCATTCAGCTTTGGAAGACAAGCCTCCAACTAGATCTTCTCTAAAAAGAGACATCATCACGTGGTTGAGCAAAAAAGGTATAGAGCATGATCCTAATGCTAAAAAAATGGAGCTTTATGAAAATAGCTTGTCTACATAGGCCACCATCTGATGAGAAAAATTATAAGATAGATAATTTAATAAGAAGTTTCGGACACACCCCACTTCGAACGCCACCCTATATGTGTCAGTTTAATCCCATAGAGATGATTTGGGCACAAGTAAAATTTTTCATTAGAAGCCATAATACAAGCGGCGAATTTACTATAAAAAAACTAGATGAAATTTCTAATAAGGCCATCGCTTCAGTAAGTGCCAGTGACTGGCAAAAGGTTATGGACATGTTATAAAAATTGAAGATGAATATTGGGAAAAAGACAGTCTCATTCAAGAAATACAGGAAGAAATAAGAATTCAACAGAGGAGTGGGAAAGTGATAGCAATGACAGTTCCTCAGACAGTGATCATGACTCTAATCAGGATTGAAACTATACTAGATTGGCTACCTTTTAGATTTGGAGATAGTCATTTATTATACTATTGGTTTGTGGCTTTTAGTATCTCAGTAGAAAGTCTAATTCTATGTGTTGTTATGGGTTATTTCATCAAGAAATTACTTTTTGTTTCCTATATTTTTCTATTCAGTCAGATATTTTTGACTTGTGGTATTTCTATTTTAGAAGAATGCATAATTTGTTTTGCTGTTCAATCATAATGCGTACATAGGAATATTACTTGTTGCCTATAAAAATATATTTATTTTGTTCTCAATATCAGTGTTGTGTAATATTTATTTATTATAATGTATGTTTGGTATCACTTCATTATGAATCGCAAAAAAATATTAATACTACCAGTTGTAATAAAATATAAATTCAATTAATAATTCAAGTCCTCTCCGATCTCCGCTATGACTCCATATAAAATCGTCTAATGGTAAGGTTTTTCATCGCATTTCCCCCTTTCGTCCCTAGCAATCTTTGGCTGGTCGATCTATAGCAACTCATTCGATTCGGTGTACGTACCAGGGTTATAAGATAAATAAATGTGTGCATCATCAGCGTAGGTTTGATAGTTTTGCAGTATTCAGTACCTTGACCTAAGTGCATATATAGTGTTCGAAAATAAACGGAAATATATTAGAACGTGATTCCTTGTTTAAAAAAATGGGAAATGCAGAGTTGTCAAGATACAGGGTGATAATTGATTCTTTTTTCATTAATTTCTTGTAGTGTATTTTATGCCAAAAGTTGCAATAACACTTTTTCCTAGAAATTTTTGGATTTTTTTGTTTTCCAAGGCACTTTTTTAGCAAAAATTAACAAACCAGTTCAGTCCAGTGACATGCAATAAAACGGTTTTTTTTTTGTTCTAATAAAGTGAGAAACGAAAAAAAATACGAGATGTAGAGGAGTGATATTTTTAGATGCTTAATCAAACAACAAATATAAATGTTACAAAAAAGTCAGTGGCGAACATTTTTTTTACCAAAAATATTCGTTAAGGTGCCCCCGGGACGGCATTGAACGTAATAATTTTAGTCTATTTAGGGATAAATTAGCCTCTTAATACAACAAATAATATCGTCAAATTCCAACAGAATCGAGTAGATATTTTTTAAGATATTAATAAAAAAAGTTTATCACCCTGTATCTTAAATTGTCTGCATTTTCGTATACAGAAAACAGAATAGGTCTGAGAATGGACCCTTGAGGAACACCTTTGATCATCTGATAAAGACTGTCATCATCATGAGTGCGTTCATGAAATAACTTCAAAACAATTTGATCGAACGATCGGAGAAATCAAAATAATGAAATTTTGCGAAAAGTTATTCGTGATTCAGGTAATCAAAGACCTTAGATTTATCATGGCACAAACATCGAGCGAGCTGTTACAGTGCTATGTATTTTATTTCGAAATTCCGAGTACTCGTATACAATTTTGTATAATAATTTCGATAACATTGGAAGGTTACCAATTGGTCTATAATCCACCTTTCGAAGGATCAATTTTGAGCATAGCATACAGGGTGTCCCAGAAGTCGACGTCAAGCCGAAACCGGGTGA